ATATTCAAAAATAAAACTAGAATGTATATACCTCATGTATTTATCCAGAAATACACCAGGGTTACTATGGTTACGAAAAATCCATTACCTTTGAATACAGAATGAAAAAGTTTGACTTAAAGTGTGTGCTATTTATTACAGCAAACATCAACAGCCTTCGGGAGGTTCTCTAACTGGATTCATTTTTCAGTGTCAGAACTGACCCACCGTACTACTAGCTTATGGCCTATGCAAGGTAAAAAATTTGAACTGTATGCATTTTTAAATATATTTTGTACTAACTCAAGGTGCAGCAATGCCTTTGACTTTTAATGCTTCATATTTAAGAGAAAGAAGAAAAAAATCAAGCCACCTGGATGCTAAGTGGCTTCTGAATTGAAATGCATTTACTTTACTCATGCCCACCATGGCAGCAAGATCCATTTGCAAAGCATAGGGGAAGAATGTCGGGTCTATGTGAAAACTTAAAAGGAAAACTAAAAGTAAATGGCATAGGTGTGAGAAAAAAATTGTTGACACTTTGAATATTTAGGAGAAGACATTAAAACAAGTTATTAGGGAAGCTTTTATTTGTAAAATTATCAAATATTTAAGAATATGAAATTCACTGCTGATAGCTGGAAATAATGTGACAAAGTATATCAAATGTCCGGTAAATGTTCATTACCTTTGACTTAGCTGTTCTTCTAGGAAGCTAGCAAATAGAGTATTATGTATAACAATATCTACCTCAAGATAATATCCATTATATGCTATATGAGATGGAATATGTTATTTAAAACATTTCAAAAATATTTTTAGAACAATGTTTAATGATATAGTCATACTATAATAAAGGAAGATGTAAATATTCAATATCATACATAGGTTATAGCTCAATTTTGTTAAAATGAATAAAGTACTTGAAGGTATTGCATCAAATAAGAGTTCTATATGACAGAATTATCAGGTATTACATGTCTGCATGTTTTACGTTAACTTCAGTAAGAATATACCACTTTTATAATTTAAGATATTATCAATTATTTTCCCAATCTAGTAGACCCTGTCTTCCATTTCTCAGTTTCTCTATGAAGAGACATTTCAGCTCTGTACAGATCCACTTTAGTAGCCCTAGACTGACACTGTTGCTGAAAGCGCCAGACGTCATGTATAGAAGTTCTACCCACAAACCACTCAGTGTGTAAAAGATATTAGGTCACAAATATCCTGGCACAAAGACAAGCAATAAGGCCCAACAGCACTGTAGATAGAGACATGTCATGGTGTAGACTCAAAGTGCCCCTAAAAGATAAAGTCCATCCCAATGGCTAGATCAGTTTCCTACCAGCCTTCTCCCTTGCTGACTTCAGACAGAGAGGCCCTTTCCTATACAGTCTTCTCTGAAAGTCTCTGTTGATAGGTAACCTTTGAAGATATAAGTGACCTGAACTTAGTCCATATCATAGATATAAAATCTGTGATCATAGGGTAGGAGCCTCATCCAATAGAACTGGCATCCTCAGAGGAAGAGGAAGAGATACCAAGGATGAAGTCACATCAAGGAAAGGGCATGTGCGCACAGAATGAGGAGACCGCTATTTGCAAACCATAGAGAGACTCAGGAGAAACTAAGCCAGCCGAAATGTTGGTCTCAGGCTTTCAGCCTCCAGACTGTGAGAAATAAGTTTCTATTAAAGCCACCTACTTTGTAGTATTTTGCCATGGCAACCATGGCAGTCTAACATGAGTGTTCTGGGGTCTTTCTTTTAGAGTTGTGGCAAGGAAAAATAAAATATGAGCAATAAGCAGAATGTATAGAAATTAAAAGCAGGTAACTTGGGGCCAGACAGATCTACATTTGAATTAGTTCCTCTGATTACTGACTAGAATTCCTTAACCTAGATCTCAGTTTTTCCAGCAATAAAGTTAGAATAATCATGTACATCTTTGAACCCCATCTTAACTTTCTCAGTTTATTTCCCCTCTTCGACCAGCACTGCAATCTCAATATGCTTCATACCTTAAGCTATCTGGGAATAAAAGCAACAATGAATATAGTTGCTTATGAAATGACAAGAAAGATATAGCAGAAAAAAATGCTACAAGTAATATTGGAGGGATATTCTTTAAAATATTACATGAAGATTGGAAACCATTGAAGAATCAAACTGTTACTACTATAGCAAGATAACATGGTTGTAGGCACTTTAAGAATATTTTGCATTCTTTATATTCAGGGCTTCTATTGTAATACTACGCTATGGTTCCATATACCAATATCTTTCATCAGTGCCTATAGTCGCATGGTGTTCTTGATAATTCAATCAAACAAAATATAGATTCAGTGTCATTTTGCAGGTGGTATTAGAAACTGAGGTGAATTCTTGCCTCCTCTCCCTACACTGCTCTTTTTCTGGTGGTGTCCAGTGTAACCTTATATGGCATCCTGTACATTTTGGAAAGAGTCAAGTCCTACAGTTTGAGACCTGCCCTCTGCTGCACCACACTTCCCTGTGGACTGACTCAGCATTTGTTTCTGTACACGGGAGGGACCTTAGCTTCTCTTTCCCTGGCTGTATCTTTTTCCATTTTTTTCTCTTCTCTATTGCCTTATTCCTACCCTAATTCTATCCTCCATCAGTTCCCCTTTCCTATCTTCCTTTTTTGTTCCCAACAATCATCTGACTTCATTCGTTCACTCCTTTAACACTTTTTATTCCATTCCCACTCTGTGATAGGTCCAAGAGGTGCAGTGATGAAAAAAACAAATATGATTGTATCCTTATGATTCTTATGGTTCAGCAGGGCAAACCAATGAGCAAACAAGCAGTTCTATTCAAGATTGACACAAACCAAAAGCAGGGGCGTAATATAAAGCTACTCAGTAAGCATATAGGGCATACCTGTGTCATATGTGGAGAATCAAAGGATTCTCAGAGGAAATGTCTATTCTGGTCCTAAAAGGTATGCTATCCTATTATATGCAGTGTTACCTCTTAGTCCTACAGAAGTGCTTTGTATGTTAATTATCAATATATGTGTAAAGTTCCTTTCATGGTGTGATTTGATTTTTTCTGAAATAACTTCTGTGGTTTATAATTGGTAGTTAAAATCATGCCATAAGATACTGTTGGAGTAAGATTAACCTCAGTTTTCACTACGAACTCTGTGTTGTACAGGAGATAACAATTATAACTTTTCTTTACTAATTGCTAATGATGTTATATATTTTATATATAGTTCTAATTCTCTTTAAAATACTGAAAAAATTAACACCACTGTAAAAATTCAGAAACTAAGACTTAGAGAAGTTAAAACACTGTTTTTAAGATCACACTCTCTTCTACATAGCCAGAATGCTTGGGTTAGTGCCAAAGCCTGTGACTTAGCCTGTGTAACCTTGGGTTACTCAATCTTCCTTTGCTTCAGTTTCTTCGCTTGTAAAATGGGGGTAATAATATCTATGTTGTAGAATAAGCATTACAGAATTCTATCCTATTATGAATAATAAAATATAAAAGTAACTGTTTTTATCCTTTTAAGGTTCTCGGACTAGAAGGGGGCCAAAAAATGTAAACCTGAGAATGCAACTGGATGAATCCCAGTCCTGTCCACATGACTCACTCCAGCATTTACGTCTGTCCCCATGAAGCAGTAAATGCCACGAGAAGAGGGACAGTGTCTGGCCAGTTCCCTATTACAACCTTAGTACCTGGCATTAATGTGAGTGAGTGAACACATAAATAATTCATCCTACCTCTGACTCTAACTTGTTGTGACCTTTATGAAGAAGTTAATATCTCTAGGCCTCGGTTTTTTCATCAATCAATATTTGATTAATAATGTCTCACATGGGAGTCACATACAGTATATAAAATAATATGAAATATAAAACCACTATAAGTACTATACAAATATAAACACAGTACAGACAGTATATATAATGCAAGCCTTGGGTATTTACAAAGTTTTTCAACAATTTACTTCATTTTATTTCAGTGTCATCACACTTTATGTTTCCTCTCAAATAATCTAAAATTCAACCACACTGAGTCACCCTTCTGAGTCCTAAGACTATTCTACATTAGTGAGGATTTCAAAGTATTAGGTTGGTGCAAAAGAAATTGCGATTTTTGCCATTACTTTCAATGGCAAAAACCACAATTACTTTTGTGCCACCCTAATAGCTCCTGTGAGATAGGAATTTATTTAATGATGTCAGTGATCCAATTGGACACTGTGAGCTTGACTGGGGACTACACTGTCTCCCAATTTCAATCCTGTGTGGTCTGTTGAAGGCAGAGAAGTCATGTGCTGAGCTCTTTGTGCTGGTGCTTTCCAAAGCATCCTCTGCATCTTAGCAAAGGTATATTGCTAGAAGGATTTAGGTAAGGGGTGATGGGATCTATAGAAGAGAACACACAGTAGGACAGCCTTGGTGGAGGGAGGTAACATGAGCACTTTTCCAATTTTTTTTTAGCTGTAGTTTCACTGTAAATCTAATATGACCTTCCAGATCATGCAATCAGAGTGATTAACAGGAGATAAAAACAAGCAACCCAATTTCAAATACACATTTTCAGATAACTATACACTATATTTATCTGGTGTGTGTGTGAGTGTGTGTGTGTGTGTGTGTACAGTCACTACCCAGTACCAGTGAGGGATTGCTTCCAGGACCCTCTGCTGATACCCAAATTCATGGATGCTCAAGTCCTTGTTACAAAGTGATGTAGTATTTGCAAATAGGCCATGCACATCCTCCTGTATACTTTAAATCATCTCTAGATTCCTTAGAATATCTAGTACAATGTAAATACTATGTAAATAGTTGTTATACTGTGTTTTAGAATTTATATTATATTTAATTATTGTATCATTATTGTTTTTACATATTTTCAATGCATTCTTTCTTAAATTTGCAGATGTGGAACCCCTGGATATCAAGAGCTAACTATATGCATGTTTATATTTGAATATAGACTATAAGAATTCACTGATAACTCTAGAGGTCTTACCTGTGACCGTGTAGTTCTCTTCATCGCCTGAATAGATCAGCCTCCCATCCATGTATAAAGAGTACTGAGTTATAATACCATTTGCTTTTTTGGGTGGGTTCCAGGAGAGTAGCAAAGAATTGGGAAGGGATTTGGCTACTGGTGGCTGAACCTCTTGTGGGGCTGTGGGAAAAAAGATTTATAGAGTCTAAGTTTAGTTTACTTTTGTAATTCAAACTTTTCAGACTCAAATCAATAAATCATGGAATAAACCTGAAATCCCATGCATGGAAATATTCCCGATTCGTGGGCAGCATGTCAGTAATTGCTTTAGGAACAGTGTTAAATAACTGTCCCGTATTTCTGAGAATTTTTATCAAAGACAGATGAAGAGTACTTACGCTAGTTTGCTAGACTGATGCTTGTGTTACTCCATCAAAAGTACTATTAACCCGTAATCTCTATGTGGGACTGTACCTATTAAAGCAAATTAAGCAGATGGAGTCCCCTAGCCTTGAGGTGCTTGTGATCTAAGATGAGTAATGCCAGTGAAAGTAGTTCATAACAGATATTTTTTTAAACCTATACATAATGATAGGAATAGCCAGAAAATGCATAATCAATTTAGTCAATTACATATGAAAACTATCATGCATACTTTTTTTTAAAAAGACCTGTTTATTTTATATAGTTGTCAATGAATTGGGAGTCCTAAGAACTAAAAGTTTTTTTATTTAGCCTAAACTTCTCTATTATTTAGTAAGTTCAAAATTACTTTGTGGAAATTTAGAAGTTTGGGAATTTCTTAAAAAATAAAAAGGAAATGTAAACGAAACAAGCACAGTGATCTCTCTGGGGCATAGACACTGGCATGAGGGGTACCAGGTAAACCCTGGACAAAGGATTTAGTGGATACAGAGAAAATAATGCAACATAGGGCCATTTGTCCCATATCGAGGCTGGTCAGAGTCCTTGTAAGAGGAGATGATAATCAGGTCCTCAGCAGATGCAACGACACAACAAAACAGTGCTATTATCAGTAGACCAGGTGGAGAAAATGCTGAGGCCAGGTCACTGACACCACAGTTGAGGTGAGGGGAGTATAATTGGTTTAGGTAAAAAATACAGCATATAGAGGGTCACAAGAAGGATTTTACAAAATCCTTTACTCTGTTGTGGTTTCATTTGGTGGCCCATGTCTTCCTTTCTGTTACATACCTTCAGTGCAAGTGGTACTTGATAAAGGATTTAAAAGAGGAAGGGGGGATATATAGATACTGGGAAAGAGAGGGAGAGAAAGACTGGCTGACTCTTTTCCCCTAAAGATCAAGCTTTTAAATCTCTGAAAGAACTTTCCAACTAGACAGTCTAAGAAATGTGCAATTCCTCTCATCCCGAAGACAGAAATATGAAATAACAATGCTTCAAATATTTTGAGAGCTGTTATTTCTTGAAGTGATGCATTCTGATGCTTAAGCAAAGCTTTCACTTTGGCGTGCTAAAATATTTTCTCTTTCTCACTGCCTTCTTAACATACGCTTTCTGAAAACTTAATTTATGCCAACAGTTTGTAAGTTCCAAGTACAACAGAAGTGAGACTTAAGTCGGAAGGAACTAAGCAGTGATTAATAATGCCTCAATTGGCATTTGGAGGTTCCATCATACTGAAATAATTGTTGCCTGTGCTACTGTTTAGCAGTTAAAAAAGACCATGGAAATCAACCGTTTGATTCTCAATTTCATACTGTGCCATACAATCAATTCTTTTTAGTCAGACTGTCTCTAGATTTACTTCTGAGCCATAGTAAAATGAGGAAGCTTTCATTAATCTTTCAGATGCTTCATATTAATGACAAGGCTCTTGCATGAACAATGTAACAGCAATTAAAAAGCCCATTAATCTGCATTACAGCTATTAAAGATGCATGTCATTAAAGGGTATGGAGTTTGATTCATTTTCGCACCCCCCCCAAAAATGGAGCAATTATGGCCTGGCAATGCACTTTGTCATCAAATTAGGTTGGGGTTTTCCAGCAAATGGCCTTGCAGCATTTAGCTCTTCTCCTATTTTATTATTCATGACTGAAATGTGGAAGTCAAGACCTTTGAAATTACTTTACCTTCTTGTGGAGTAGAGATGTTCAATGCATGTGAGCTCTCAGTACAGCCAGCCAAAGTGCAAGCAGTTAGGGTTACTGCATAGTTTTTGAAGGGTAGCAAGCCTGTCAATATGCCTATAATAAAAAGGGACAAAAGAGGGTTGCATGTTTACCATAGCGTCAATAAAGAGCATCGTGGGTGTATTTGCATGAGTGTATGCATCACAGAGACAGACAGAAAGACAAAGAGACCAGAGATGGAAATCAAAAACATATTCCTTTTTCAGTCATTTTCCTTCCTGTCTGCTGATCATAGAATGGAATGACTCCTGAGGAAAAATTGTGAGACCAACTTATTGTTAAAACAACTCTAAAACAGCATCTGATGTTTCTCCCATTAAAATGAGAAGGGGGGGGTCCACATGTACTTTGTGAGGCAGAGCACAGTGTTTCCTTTAGCTAAGATGTATATTACCTCATTCCAGGATCCTAGACCTCCTGCAGAAACAAAACTATTTAATTTTCTTTAACCTAGCATTTTTCAACTGTATTTAACTAAGGAGTCCTTTTCATATGGCACCTATTAACACACTTTAAAAATGCTACTCCCAAGAGTGGCTTCATTATTTTAACAGTAGGCCACATATATACAAACCATTTGTTTATGTTGTAGCTAACAAGTATGCAAATTAATGTAGTTGAACAATTAGCAAATAAGATAATTATGCTTTTGTACTTCTACTTGCAAAATTATTAGTTTATTTAATTAAGACACCTGTCGTAAACGGAAGTGTTGCACATAAAAGTATTGAAGTAACATGGCTTGCTGGTAGATATGCAAGATTTGTTCAGCAATTAAAAGTAGCTGTAGAAATGAAAACACATTTTGTTTACTAGTGTTCATCAGCAAGGCAGAGACTCCTTATTAATCCTGCGAATTTAAAAAAGTAAAAAAATGCAACTTGTGCATTTGCTCACCACTGTTTTTCCTCAATGAAGTTTTTCAGAGCAATCTTGAATCCTAACCACACAGCTTATCATTATTTTTATAAAAAGATGGCCCCATTTGTGGTATTCCTTTATTGATTAAACCTTCAATCACTCAGAGAATACATTATTGCTTTAAGATGCCAATATTGATGACAGCTTGCATCATTCAAACACAAATTTTAATATACATATTTCTGTATTTTCTCTCCCCAATAGAAAATTTAAAAAATTATATGATCAAAGAGCCAGGATGGAGGAAAGACCAGTTGTCTGGTTTGACACCTCCCGCTTGCCCTTATTCCCTAGCGCTGCCTCTAAGTCTTCATTCCAGCAACAACCCAGGCATCTCCGTGGGCTACTGAATCCTGTCTGCCATGCTTCTACATGAAAATATTCATCCACTTGGCACCATCATCTTAGCTCATGGCCAAGCAAGACAGCAAGCCAACAAACTAATACGCACACATGTGTGACCATCTCATGCCAAATTCAGCTCTAATTTCAAAACCCTCTTGTGTCAGAGCCTCCTGCTTTCTCTCATTCCTGCCCCTGTGATTGTCATTTCCTCTTAAATCTCCCAGACCATGACCCACATTCTGAGTTTACTCTCTTTTAAGAAGTTATTTCTCCTTCCAAAAAATGGCTTAAAAGCAAACTAACATTATCACATGCACATCTTCATAATGGAGTACTGTGGAAAACGGCACGGATGCTCGGGCCAGATTGCTGGCTTCAGATGCCAAATCTGCTGCCGATGGGCCAAATGAACTTGGGCAAGTTGTTCAGACCTCTGTGCCTTAGTTTCCTCTCTGTCTTGAAGGCAAGGCCTTGCAGGCCTCATCTGTAAGATGGGACTAACACAGTACTTTCCTCAAAGGGTTAGTATTAAGGCTGAACAAGTTCAGGACCTTAGAATACTTAACATGGAGTACTGCCAGTTGAGAGCTCTAGTGCTGAGCTATGTAATTCGAACTTAGGCTACCGTTGCAACTCAACTTGTACCTCTATGTGCTACTAAACAGTTTGTATCTTCTAAAGATCACCAGCAATCCCTTAAATACCAAATCAAATAGCCGTTCTTCAGTCCTTATTCTCCTGTACTTATGGGGCATTGTCATCCCTCAACTTCCTTCTGTGAATATTTTAGTTGTTCTACTAAACTACTGAGAATTTTTAGTTGTTCTACTAAATTACTGAGAACTCCTTTGTTTCCTTTACTGACTCATGTTCCTCTGAGTCTCTTAAATAACTTTTGTTTCACAAAGTTGGGTTGTTGTCAAGCTTCTTTCCTTTTCTAAACACTCGCCTTTGCTACCTTATGAAGCCTTATCTCTCAATGATCACATTTGTATCTATAGACTTCCCGTCTCTCCCAAGCCCTGGTTCTGGGTTTCTATCTGCAGGCCATTTATCCACACCTGGATGTCCCACTGGTATTTCATACTCAACATGCCCCAATCAAGAATCAACATTCTAAATAATTATATAAGCTACATTTTTCCATCTTGTAATGACTCCACTATGATCCCCAAATTCCAGGCTGAAAACTAAAATATCATCATAAAATATGTTTTGGCCATTCTATCTTTGGCAAATCTTTGGCTTCTGCCATGTCTTTCCTATTGCCAAGTTGGAATCTACCGTAAGATTCTAAATAAGATGACTTGCATGTCTGAATTAGTATAATGCCACACTAACAAGAAATGAATCAGCCCCCAGAGAATAAGACTTTTAATCCTAATGTGAATAAGAAAAGCATGTTGGAATATGAGGCGTGTTTCCCTTTATCATCAATTAACCTATGGAACATATGTGAAAAGCAGCGCCCCTCATAGATGGGCATGGTTTAGCTGAGGCATTAGAACACCGTAACCAAAAAGAAACCATGCTGCTATACAGGTTGGTTATCTGAAATCCTTAGCATGAAGATGTATCGTAGGTTCAGGAAGCATTGTCATTGAGAAACATAAAAGCAGCTCTATGATTGTGCAATTTTGCAGCCTGACTTTATAAAGTTCCTTATACTTAACATTTCCTTCCAAATCAACTTATCAGGAAAGGTATTCATATAGACTTTCAGAGGGATTGTATCAAACCAGATCCTGGGTTCACACTCACTAAGTGATCTTTAGTGTTTTATGTAAAATTTCGTGCTTTCACTAAAGGAGTTACTTTGTGTGTAATATGTGTATTGCAAGAGCTCTTTATTAACTTCAGCCACTCTTTATTTCAAGGACCTTAGAAAACAAGCAATACCCATCTCAGCAAACTTGCTTTCTTTAGCTTCGATTTGGTAGAGAACTTTACCAAATTGTATTGTATTTCATAGAAAAAACTCTGAGATTCTTAAAGAAAGATGCTGGAGAGAAACTAGATCATCTTTCAAAGTCATTTATCAAAGTGCTCACATTTCCCATTTCAAACCAGGTGAAACAATAATAAGCTCTGAGAAATGAGAGCTGTAAAATAGAAAACAGAAAAAAAAAAAAAAAAAAGGAAGAGAGCTGATGTTGTGGTTCTTGCCAACTGTGGATCCCAGGTGGAAGGTTTTAGATGGTTTGTAAATCACACTTTTCAAAAATGTGCTGCATTTTCTAAGGCTGGAGTGCCATTTATTTTCTATTTCCGGTAGGGCATCTTGTTCATCATGCTGTGTGTCAGAGACAAAGTTTGTCAAACCATCTGATAATTTTCCTTAAAGGCAAGTTAGTACTACCTACTTCGGGAATAAGAGCAGTATAATGGTTCACTGTGTTCTGTCCTCCTGTCAGGTTAAAATTCAGGGTAACATAGGGGCAAGGGACTGGTCAAACATGGTCTTCATTCACTTGGAATCATAACAAAGTCATTTTATTGTTGGAGACATATGGTTTTTCTCCTTTGATTCTCAATATGGAGAGTTTACCAGGATGGATTTAAGTTGATGCTTACAAAAAAGTTGTGCATGGCTGAAGAAAGGGATTAACACATTATCTCCAAGACTAGGTCGATTTTGAATATATTCTTTGAAATCATTAAGCGATTATCCTAATGGCTTTGCTTTAAGTGTCAGGGTTCTAGTTAGATTAGGTACTTTCTGGAAAATACAGTGTTACTCTGGTAATATATTGTCATCAAAAAGCATTTATTAATGTTTCTTCTATATGCCTCTGGAAAAGGTGCTGATTTTTACAAGGTCTCTGATATAAGACAATACTGGAACTAGAAGAACCCTTATAGTAATAGATTGATGCATAAAGCAGAATGTTTGCATGTAGCCCAAGTGGACAATGACATTTGTAAGATTCAGACTTGCCAGTTCAAGATGATAGGAAGCCTAAATTTAATTTAAAATATATTTTTGTATTATATTAGAGTAGTAGGAAATATATAATATGATATATCTATAAAGGAATCTTAGACAGAAAGCCCAAAAAGAGAAATGGGTTAGTCTCCTTTTATGACACTTGGGGTTTTTAGACTGAAGAAGTATATCCTGAAAGGGGGAACTTTGAAATTGGTTTGGTTGTGAATCTCTTTGTTTGGGACACATCCCAGAGAAGTCTTTTTTTTTTTTTTTTTTTAATTTGAGAATGTCCCTATTACAAGGCAGGCCAGATGACCTCACAATCCTCCCTTTCAGCCACAAACTCTGTGAAATCAGAAAATGGTCCCAACCATGTCAGGAAACCTGCTAGTCCCTCTTGATAATGGAAAAGGGCAAGCTGAAGAAACATTCAATAAGCATAAAGCAAGCATTATTGATGTCTTAAAAGTGTTAGTATCCCATGAAACACAGGAGGGTGGGTATCCGGATTAAAATCATTGGCACCAGCAGGACCATAACTCTCACTGCTAAGCGATAATGCATTTTGCATTAATGCTTAACATTGAGAAATCCTGACATGCCACACCAAGGGAGTTTGAAGTCAAGCAAGCAGATTCCTTTGAATTGAAGTCCTGTGGGCCACAGTGGGTGCAGAAAGCCCAAGCTGAAAGAACAGGGGCCGGGACTTGATTTAAGGGAAGGAAACACATCATTGTGGGAAGAGCCTTACTGCATATGGCTCCAAACTCTGTGCTCTGAGGGTTTCCACATAACAGAGGAGAAAAGCATTGGCCAGGAGAACTTTCGACTTAAAAGTCCTTCACAGTGATTTGGGGAA